TAAGTGGTAACGGCAAATGCATACCACTTCTGCACTCAGGAGATTGATTTAAAGATGATATTTGAACATTTATTTCTGATGATTGTAAGGAAGTATTTTTATTATTTGGAATTTTATGAAGTGTTTCGGGGTTATAATCCATGTGTTTCACTTTTTTTTTGTGACACAAAGAACGTTCTTTTAATGTAACTAAGACCTGGGTCTGTTACTGAAGTTTTGGTACAATAAACACATTTTGAAATTGTATAATTATTTTTATTTTAATTAATGATATTGTAATTAGTAAAAAAAATAGATTGTTATTTATCTAAATACAGTATTTGTAATTTTTTATAGTGCAAGGAAACAATTTTAAGCGTTTTAATGATTATTTTTACACAAATGTTCACTATATTATTTTAAAATTTTCTAAGTTATATGTTATAATTAACTTCTTTATCCTGATATTATGGTGGATTAATTTTGTTTTAGTGTTTCTACTTAATTTTTGTTTTAGTCTTAATGTATTTTTGTAGTATTTTTTTAAATTTAAATTTAATTATTGTATTATATTTAAAAGATTGTGATCACATTTGAGTGGGTACATTTAAATGATCCACTAAATGTATTTTTATACAGAGTAGATTATTAAAAGTAACTTTGAAAATTAAACACTTCTATCTATAGACCAAACGCACCCATAAATGTTGACTAACTGAAATTTTCTAACTTGTCCCATTTTATTACACTCACGTAAGAAACTACTTACTTGGTAGTAAAGTTAGAAAATAATAAAGGAAGCAATATTACTGGCTAAAATAATAATTATTACTTTCATAGACATAAAAATACTATTTCGATAATTTAACGAAGGATAATAACCCACAACAATTACGTCTAAAATGTATATTCCTAACTGGATGGGGTGGTGCTCAACAACTTATGTAGTACCATTGATTATTTTTATTTTATTATGGATGTGATTCAACCAATCACGCAATGTTGACGAAAATGTATAATACTATTTGCGGACAGACATTTATTTTACCATGCCATTATGACTGGTTACACTGGCAATTACCTCACCGAGCTCAACCTCATTCGGTATAACTTTTGTGGAACTTTGGTAAGTAGCGGAATGTTACATATTCGTATTTCCTCACTAAACAATACTGTATTACATAGGTTTACATAG